GGGCACTCCCTGCTGAGTCACCGACAGGCAGGGGCACACTGGGCCTGCAGCTCTGCGCTCCTGCCAGGACCCCGGAAGCCAGAACCCAGCAGGCTCTGGGGGAGCTTCTTGGGCCGGGGCGGTGGAGATAAACCATTTAGCAACAGGAAAACTTGCCTTAAAATAGGGCAGCACAGAGGCCAGTCTGCAAACTGACTCTCAATTTTCTCCTGAGCATTATTATTTTGCTCCAAGAGGCAGCACCCACTACACTGTGGGCAAACCTATTTTTATTCACATAGTCAAGAGGGACCCATAGGGTCAAAGCGAGGCCAGGTTAATTTTTAACAACCCCTCATGGAGCTTGAAAAGGAGCCACACTATGTAATCAAAGTGCTGAGTGAAGCTGGAATGGCCTTGAGAATCCCAGAGTTTATGAATGCGTACGTGTGAGCAGCGTAAGCACGGACATAAAGGCAAGAAAGACAGAGCTCAGACAGCAGTTTCCTTATAGAAACAGAGTCCACGGCAGGGGTGCTTTAGCTGCAACCATGTAAAATGTGAAATGTCCACGTCTCTTCAATGTATGTGAGAGTCAGTATGCAGACTTTCTGTGTGTCTGAACTATTTTATAATTTTAAATGTTAGCAGAAAAGATGGGACACACAGCAAAAGATCAGAAAACTAAATGGGATTCTCTCTTCTTGGCTCCATGACAGAGACTCACAGAACTGCGCTGGGGACGGCAGCCTGGGTTCCAGAAGCAACCTCCACCAGGTGAGAGATGTGCACCCTCACCTGCTCCCTGCTGGCCAGCAACAGGACACAACCCCAGCAGGAGATGCAGGGGCTCAGTCAGCCTTCCATGATTCACGTGGACAACCAGCGGGAGTCCTCAGGGGACTGTAAGTCTACAAGTCCCACGAAGCGAGCTCACGTTCTACAGCCCTCATCCCCTGCCAGCCCCAACCCTTCAGGCTAGCTTCTGCCCTGACTACCACAGTGCAGGGACCACTGGGCCTCTGGGCCTCTATGGGACAGCAGAGTGGGAAGGGAGAGCAGAAGTGCGGGGGGGGGGGGGGGGCTGTAGGTGAGGAAAGACAGCATCCACAGCGCCGCCCCTTCGAGCCTGAAAAGCACACTTGCTGACTGTGGATCGCAGCAGGGCGCGGAAGCGAGGTTCTCCCTGGAACACATGACCGCTGCAGGGACAGATTTCAGGGTGGGCACGGGTGTCTCCTGACTCTCCCTGCACGTGACAGTGTCCTCTGAGGGTGCTCACTGCCCAGTCCCCGGATCCACCCTCCTACCTACTCTGCGACAGCTCCTACTGGTCACAGAACTTCCACATACGGAGTGTCTAAGATACATGATTCTCCTCCTTTCTTTCTCCTTATTGTCCACATAAACTAATTAAGAGATTCTAGGAGAAATTATTCAGTGTCAATACTATGCTCATTGTCTTAAAAATAAAAGACCTGCATGTTTATTGGGTCATATACAAATGTGGACAATTCCATGTGATTTACACGATCTGACTTTGGAAAAGGATGCAATGGTGCACAGTGAAATTGATTCAGGCTTGTGTCTATGCCAGCTTTTTTTCTTTCTTTTGGTACCAGGAATCAAACTCACAACCTCACGCGTGTCAGGCAGGCACCTTGCCACTGAGCTATATCCCTGACCCTACATCAGTGGTTCTTAAGCTAGGATGATCCCCACCGGGAGATGTCGGACAGTGACACTTTTGTTCACTGCTAAATATCCCATCATGCACCCAGGAGCCCTCACAATGAAGAGTCTGGCCCCCAACAACCATAGCATTAGCTTGAGAGATACTAATTCAGGCCCCATGGCTACTCTACCCAGTTCTCTGAGTCCGTAACAAAGACAACCACTGGTGCCAAGGCTCTCCTCGTAAGAAAAATGCTGAGAACATCCCTTTTCAATGCTCAAGTGTCAGAGGAAAGGGATTTAAAATCATCTGTCAAATGATTGGTCACCCACGGGACTCTGTCACTGTTACAGGGACTCTGGAAGAAGGGCTCCAGAAAAAAAGCTTTTGTAACCCCTCATTACCTCCCTGTCTCATCTCTCTGTGAACAGTCTCCAGAGTAGCACTGTGTCCATTAAATGGTAGAAACAGCAGAGCCACTTAAACTCCTCAGTGAACCTCGGCCAGGGGTATGGGCGGCTTCTCAAGGTCAGGGTGGGGAAGTTCTCTAAGTTCTTCCTCGTCTTTTTAACTGGGTAGCACTGTAATAAATATACACTCAGCCAGCAAGTGAGAATGCAGAGATGCTGCTGCTCCAGCTGAGGCTCAAAAACAGCCAATCCCGAACGTGTATATCTGGTCTCACTTTATTATTAGAGCTTTATAAATTTCCCACTGAGCACGAAATGCCTTGATATAGACATGATTTGTCAACAACAGCTGACACCCAGGCAACTTTGTTTCTAAGTTCTTTCGGGACTGCGGGGCAGCAACATGGCTTTGGGAGGTACAACAAAGACGGAGCTTGAGCGGATGCAGATTTTTGTGAGTGAATCCGTTTACCACAACAATGTCATGTGTTCTTAAGTATGAAGAACTGGTGCCGAGCCACAGAGCCCTGGAACAATCAGATTTTGATTGTTTTTTTTTCTTTCTCGGAGCTGAGGATGGAATCCAGGGCCTCCAGCTCACCAGCCAAGCGCTGGACACTGAGCTACACTGCAGCGCCTCCCAGGTCAGCTCTTCAGTAGCTGGAATCAGCATCAATGCTGGTGAGGCACAGCCTGCAACGACCCTTCTCACAGGGGTGCGTGGATCTGATGCCCGGACCTGCTGCTCTGTCCTGAGCTCCCTTCTCTTATCTTCCAGAATTCTCCATGCCTTATCTTACTACAGCCCCAGTCCTGTTCCTGGCCCCCTGGCCCCAACAGAATCTCACCACACAGGCTCTACAGAGAGGATCCTGAGTGCCAGGGTGCTAAAGGACAAAAAGTCCCATGAGAAAGGCCAGTTATTCCTCTCTGTGGCTCAGTTTCCTCACAGGCACTGTACCTTTGACCTGCAGGGTTGTTATGAATATTAAAAGAGATGATGTGCACACAGTATCTGGCAGTACTTGGCAAATGACCGACTTTCTGTGAGCACTAATCCCCCCCCCTTATTGGTATTCCTGATTCCTAATCCACAGCTGAAAGCCAGGACCTTGTTGCGATGGTTAATTTTAGGTGTCAACTTGGTTGGATAGGGTACCTAGTGTGCTGGCAGGCGCTGCTTCTGGATGTGTCAGTGATGGCAATTCCATCAGTGGAGGTCCAGAAAGAGCAGCACAGCAGAGAGAGACATCTTTCCTCCCTCTTTCCTGGAGCCAGGTCACCTCTCCTAGAAGAGGAGGTCAGAGCCCTGGGCTCTGCAGCCTTTGGACCCTTGAACAGACACTAGCAATCTTATCATGCCCACCCACCCCTGGATCCTTAAGCCTTCAGTCTTATAGCTGAGAGTTACACTATTCTCTCTTTGTTCCAAGGCTTCTGGACTTAGAATAAGCCACGTTACCAGTACCTCTGGGTATGGCCTGCTGTGGGATTTACCTCTATAATTATGCCAGCCAGCTCCTGACATCCATCTGTTCACACATCCACACACACATTCATCTATCCATTTATCCACCAACCCATCCATCTACTCACCACCCCATTCCACCCACCCACCCATCCATTCCCACAAATCCATCTATCCATGTACCTATCTACCCACCCACCTATCCTTCCATCCACCTATCCACCCATCCATCCATCCACCCACCCATCCATCCATCCACCCATCCATCCATCCATCCACCCACCCATCCACCCATCCATCCACCCATCCATCCACCCATCCATCCATCCATCCATCCATAGGTTCTGCTTCTGTGGGCTAAAGACATTGCATTTACCTATCTAATTACCTTTAATAGGGAAAATGTTCTTCATTACACAACTATAACTGAAAGCCTTAACTGAAAATATGGCTCATAGGACTAATACTATGGTTATTTTTCATTCAAAAGTAAACAATGACAGAATAGTACTTTTTTCCTTTGTTTTAAGACAAGGATAAGTATTAGAAAAGACCTTGGACTGTGAGGAAGGAGAAGAAACAATGCAAGCCTGGCAAAATCAAGGAACCATTTTCTTCCGTCAGTTTTGCTGAGGGCCGGACCTGCTGAGCACCAGCTTACACCAACGGCTACCAAGTCAGGAGCCCAAAGCAAGTTCCACGATTGGGGTGTGCAGTGTTGATGGCTCTTTGGCCCCTGCTTTGGGTTACTTGGAACAACTACATTGTGATGGTGAAATGGCTTTCGTGGGAAACCACAACCAAATGCTGACAGCAAAGCCTCACCTAACTTAGAGAAAGCCGTTCTCAGTCCAACAGCAGACGAGAGCAGCTGCAGAAGCACAGGTGTGCCCAGTGGTTCAGCTCAAGGAGGCACAGTGTGGTCACGCACATTTGTGCAGGCTGGGGTCCCTGGGGTCCCCGAGAGCTCATGGAAGCATCCTCACGGAATCTCCAAAAGACCCTGCTAAGCTGCCGCCTCTGCATTGTGCCAGCAGGACACTGAGGCTCAGAAGTGTGCACAGCCTGCTGCACTGTCTGGATCTGAATTCGTGATCCTGAATGGCACACGACCTAAGCCCCCCGCAGTCATCATCAGTCCTATTCACTGATCCCTCTGCAGCCAAAACAAGGCGCTTGTTTCAAAATGTTTTTAAAGTTCGAGGGTTTACTGCTGAGCACGACTGAGAAACAGGAAATGTTTCTTAGCTGATCTTGAAAACATTTCTACTCAATTGGAAATGTTAACAGTTTACAAAACTTGTTCCTTCTATTGCTGTGACAAGATTTCCATTTGAAAATTATAACCATCTTGTGAATCCTTTACTTTAGGAGCAAAGGCAAACCGGAATCATTCCAAGCAGTCTGTGATTTGGCATTTAGCAAATCAAGTTTCATGGGCCCCTGCGGGAGGAGACCCCAGACTTACTTTGACCTGCGGGTAGGACTTCTTGTTCTTCTCACTGGATGCGCCCGGAAGCCCACCGTGGGAGGGGCCTTCACACACGTAACGGAAACGGAATCCTCTCTGCAGAGGCGAACACAGTGCCAGAAGCATGAAAAGCAGGCATTAAATGAGAGTGACAAAGTGACACAGAACTTTCTAGTGCTTATGTGTGCTAGATGGAAACACAGGAACTGCTGAAAGAGGACCCTGGCAAGGAGAAGGCATTTCTCAAGGTCACCAGGGTGACCGCATGATCTGGAACCAGTGAGCTGGGAAGCCCGGTGGTGTCTGCACGGGACAGGCTGCTGCAGCGACACCCAACACCAGGGCTGTGGGGCTGGAGTCAGAGCGCCCCTCACTCATCTCAAGTTCCTGCCGCACTCTGAGCTTCACCACAGCAGGGACAGTCATGCTCCCTTGACTGTGACTTTGAGGCAGTCATTCTATACCCTGCTGATGACAGCTGGTGGGGGCGGTGGGCTGCAGAGGCATCCTGTGGGAGCCACAGCACAGCCCATGACACGCTGAGCATTCCCAGCTCCTCTCCACACCATGGGAAGGGCTTCAATTTCATGATGACCGAAGCAAGGAGCTCAAGCTTATACCCACTGATGCGAATGAATAAAAGCAAGATGGTCCCATTATATGGTCTGATCAGGGAATTTTGCAGCTGCATTCATCAAAGAGGCTGCTGGCACCTCTGCTGTGTGTGAATGACCCTGGGAAGGCAGACCTACCAGCCCTGTTCTCTGATAGACAAGAAGACCACTGACACCAGCTAAGGCCCAGTCTTCGAGGCCCCATTCTAACTGCTTATGATCTAGAAGGCTGGCTTAACTATAATTCTTCAGCCTAGTATGCAAAGACCATTCTTCGAATGGAGTTCATAGTCACACTAAGGAAACTTGCCTGAAACATTCACCTTTGTAATGGTGTCATTCAGTGCACGGCAATGTCAGTAGTTCGGAACCGTGCAACTGCTGAGCTGGATGGTTTTAGCTTTTTCTATTTCACCCTTTGGTGAGAAGAGGAGTGTGTTTGTGTCCTTTAAGAAATAACCTCAGGCTTTCACCTATTTTTATTGTGTGGCAGGCTTTATGGGAACAGTGCTAGGCCATTAGATCATCAGGACATCCCTTGCTAGGAGGGTTTCTACCACACATATGATAGAACCCAGCAGACACTAAAGTTTCATCAGCTCTGAGCTCACAGCCCAACGTGCAATCTGCCCTCCTTGACTGTATGGCATTTCCTCTCGCCTGGTAGAACTGTGTAGTCTATGAGTGGCCCACGTTCCTGGAACTCATCTGAATCTCCATGGAGCACAGACACACAACCTTACTTTCTGATGGTACCTGATTTCTGAAAGAGATGCTCCCACAGTATGTTTCGCTTTGTGAGGAAGGGCTGCAGGGCTCAGTCGGTGCTCCAGTCTGGAAAGTTCTCCTGCACCATGCGGCCTGCAGTGTGTGTCCAACTCACCACAGCAAGACCTCAAATCACTTTCACTTCTGGCTCATCTGAAGCCCCCAAGCCTGGATACCTGGGAAGCCCTCAGAAGAGAGGTGCTAGGGATGCTCTTGCTGTTTTGCATCTCATAAAATTGAAATTAAAAGAGTAAGTTGCAGATTCAGCCCTAGCCTTTTTAAGCAATGGCTGTTGGCTTACTTTAAATAAAGAAATGGAATTTCTAAAGGCGTGAGACACCAACAACACGGGTCACAGCACCGTGGTGGCTGACCACAGAGGTGGAGGTTTCCCTGACTGCTAATTAATTCAAACACAACTTCAGTCTTAAACTGGGATTAGCTAATCAGCACTGAGAACTGGATAGTGGGAGATCTGCAGACGTGCTGTGACTCATTCCTGTCACGGCTAGGAAACCCAGGCCAGAAAGGCCCCAGAGTCAGAACATTTTTCTATCTTAAAAAAGTGACTGAAGTGATTCATTATCTTAAATCACAAAGTCCCTTGAAGGCACTTGGAAAAGTGCATCCGTGTTCACTTTTGTATGTTATCGAGAGTAGAATCAAAGAAACTCCACATGGGTATGACCAACCCATACGCGTGTAGTTTGAAAAATAATAGGTATTATTCAGGGTTGCAGGACAGCATCTACATTTCCACACAAGCTAATTTTTAACCTGAATGTGGAAATTTAGAAAATTTTTCCCCCAGAAAGGTAAGATGTCTTTAAATGATGGTCTGAATTCATTTCTCAGTCTGACTTTCTGAGACTCAAGGCTCTTCAGTCCCCAACCCTTCATCTCGGCCACACCGACTGCTCCAGAAGAATCATCAAGCCCAAGTGGGAAGCACCCTGTAGCCGGGCGGAGACTGACCCCTGCGTGGCCTCTGACTTTTGCTGAAGTCAGACGTCAAAGCAGCAGCAGTGTGGTAAGTAAACGCCCGATGCACTCCAGCGAGCTCTTACACATGCACGATGAACTGGAGTCTGAGTCTAGGAACTACATTTGCCTTGCAGGGAAACCCTGAGTACCAATCTTGCCTTAGGGCTGCTGGGAACTGCATGTGACAGTCTTACTGTGGCACTACACTTATGGAAATAGGTGTCTTAAAAAGTAACTTGGTGTGAGGACAAATTTTAGTTGCTTGGTTTCATAAAACAGTGAGCTAGGAAATCTTCGAGGAGGCCAGGTCCCCTGTCGAGTCTCAGGATACCATCACTGGGGAATGGGTGACTCTGTGTGCGAAGTCACTACTGTGGAGCTGGAGGTGGAAAAAACAAGCCAGCATCGCTGGCAGCTGTGAAGGGACTGACCCCACTAGCAGCTAGAACAGTGGCCGAGGTTCCCCGTGGGTTCCTGTCGTGAGAGAGAGGCTGTCCTCTGATTCAGCCTTGTGCAGACCAGCTGGCCATCAGGAAGACGGCTGCTGGGCCTCTCCTAATGAATGAAAGGTCCCCCAGGTGGACAGGAAAGCTGCCTTCCTTCCTTTCACAGCCCTGGAGCTGTACAGTTTCTACCATGCATTTTTGCAGGGAGTTGGGACTTGGTTTAGAGAAGCCATTTCCACCCTGAGCTTAGAGGAAGAGCCTAAATAAGATAAAGCATCCCTCTCCTGGCGCTAAGAGCTTGAGTCCAACCCTGGCGCCAGCAGGAAGAGAACTCTAACTTTCACGCCCAGCAGCACTGTCAGGGCCTTCGGTGACATGTTCCGCAGACAGAGAGGAAGAGGCTGGACCTGCTGCAGGAAGGGGAGGGCCTGGGGAGGACGGCACATGGCTGATGTGAGCTTCACGTAAGTGTATTTTCTCATAGACGAAAATGGGTGGAAATAACTCATGCCTTCCTGGGAAAGGCTGATAGCTAATCTGGTGGAGACGGCGGAAGCCAAGGATCTGTAATTAACTGGGCTTCACAGAACCACACTGAGGTTCAAGAAAAATGAGCAGGCAAAACGGGAAGCAGAAGAGCAACGTCGTTATATAACTTGGCAGGTCACTGATCTTCCAGATAAACTGCTTCCTCTATAAAATTTATTTAGTAGTTTTCAATGCTTGAGATCTTAACATTAGCTGTAGGGATCTAAGATTGTATGAACAGTCCCCCCTTTAACCGTCTTACCTGTTTAGGTTGCTCTAATATTTGAAGGTATGGACCATCTGCTAAAAACAAAAACAACAAACAGAAACCAAAAGACACTGTGAGGCTTCTCAAATTGGGTATACAATGTAAAGCAAGTCAAAGTTATGTTTTTAAATAGATGTTTCAAATCAAATCCATAGCTACAGTTTCCTGGGGATACAATTTCTCTTCCTGGTTTGAAATATCCCATTTATCGCTTCTGAGACAATCCTTTTACATTTTTAGAGGACCAGATAAATTCATGTTTGCTGACCATCCCTCCCAACAGTGGGCTCATGGGTGGCAAGGATTGTTGCCTTTGCAATTCTGTCTCCAACAAAATACTTTTTAAACAACAAGAATGCCAGTTAAAAGCAGTAAGCAGTTCCCAGGCACTGCGACACTGTGTGCCTTTACGTCACGTGCTCCGTGTGACAGTTAAAGAGCTGACGTGGTCAGTGCCGGGCATCTGCTTCTCGCCGCCCTGTCTTTCTGTTCTTTGCCCTCACCTGACGCCCTAAGTGTGGGTACCGCCCTCACACTCTACCCTTGACTGTCTCTCCTCTCCATTTAATTTGGCCAATGAGACACAGGGAATTGTACTTATTAATTCCTGGCTTGCAATGTTATAACATTTCTGAGTATTAAACTCTCCCCAGAACTCTACTCCAAAAACACAGATGAAGATAGGTACACGCCAAGTAATTACTGAAAAACATAATGAAGAATAGAGGCTGAATCCCCATCCTACTACACCTGACTTGAAAATCTGAAGGGTGCCAGGGGTTTAGCTCAGTGGTGTAAGAGCCAGCCTTGCAAGCGCAAGGTCATGAGTTCGATCCCTGGTACCAAAAAGAAGAAAAAAAAGGAAGAAAATCTGAAGGGCCATCAGACCCTCACCAGCACAAGTATTTCCCTGCTTGGCCTGAGGAAATTCCCCGGCACCTCGGCTGGTTTGTGGGTCAACAGCACCATGACCTGGGCTCTGTGACGGAAACTTTAAGCCTCGGTCCCTTTAGCGTATTTAGTACTGACAAGGCCCTGGAACAGAGAGGCTGTGAGGACAGAGTTTCTACCTCCTTTCAGATCTGCAGATAAAGACATCAGTGAGGAGATAATCTTCACTGAAATTCAAAATAAATTAGAGAGAATTTATTTTTGTCTTCTCAGCATTATGATGAATCGGACAAACTAAGGGAACTTTAGGAAACCAAAGTATAATTATTCACTCAATTTACACAGAAGTCAGCTGAAAAATTACTGCATTTGAAGCAAAATGGTGTAGGAGAGAGGAACAGGGAGTCCTTGTCAATCGGGTCAGGTGGGAAACAATCTCCCTTCCATATGGAAGTCGGCCCTGAGCTTTGCAAACTACTTCTAGAGAAGTAGCTGTAATTTCAAAATTTAAAAAAATGGCTAGAATTTAAACTTCCGCTTAGGAAATACAACAAGTTAACAATAGAAATATGTTTACACCACCGATAACGTAATAAATGTAAAACAATTTCTGCTGGGGTATGATAGAGCATATGGAGAAGAGAGGTTCTGGGAAGCCACGTGGGTACGGCATCGTGGAACACATTCACATCAAACTCAGGCCCTTCTCTTCTCAACTCTTTGAAAAAGACTACTTGCAAATCCACTTTATTTTTTTCTACAGGACTTAATTTCCTTCATGTGAAATTTCAAGTGAAATGTCTCCATTCTTCTCCTTGAGAATATGCATTCAAAGTTAAATCCTCTAGAAAATTAGACTTGACGTGCTCATCTCCCTTTTAAGGCCAATTCTGGGTGGGAGGGGGCCACATTTCTGATCTATAAAAGTGATATCTGCTGCTCACAGACATTTAAACTACCAGCCTCGCAGGTACACTCAAACCCACAGGGTTCAACAAGTAGTTGATCTACTAATGGTTTTCAATATAAAAGACCTGGTAATTGAGAATATCCATAATGAAAACAAGTTAATACTGGTTTACACAACATCTCTACTCTTTAAAATTTGAATAAATATCTCATACATCTTGGTATCTAGAATCTAAACTATCAATAGAGAGGGAACACATATGGATAAAAATGGTGAGTAGCCAACTGGAAAATAAGATTTCTAGGTATAATTCTGAAAGCTTTTCTAATAGCATGACAACATCACTTCCATAACATGAAGCTCTGACCTCAGAATGCCGGCTAACATGCTTCTTCTGATTGTATTACTTCTATGCACATTGATGTCACAAAAAAGAAAACATTTTTAAGCAATCTGCCTCCGGATACTGTTTGTTATTCACAAGGCATGAAACTGATAATCTGTACATTTCCTGAGGGTGGAACCAAGTTCTTACATGTTCAATAAAGCATTAACACTAAGAAAAATACTTTGAACCCCAGAATTGAGAAGCTCACAGGAAACACTGATTATCAAGACACTCGCCCGTTTACAGGAAGCTGACCCAGAGCTCAGATTGGTCAGCACATCACAAGGCCTTAGACACCATGGCCCAGATAATGTTTTGTGGGGGAGGGACAGAAAGGCTCTTGTCGTGGCTGTGTGTGGATGTCCCCCCAAAGCCTCATGCAGTCATAGGAGGGGTTTTTTCAGAGGTGGTTGGATCTAAAATGTGTGGCTGACTTATGGTGCAGTGTTGGGATCAAGTGTGGGTGATTACTAAATTGGTCCACTGACTGGTTTGGCACTGCCCTAAGCCCGGTGGCCCAGATACCCTGTAAGGGACAGAAAGAGTCTTGTCTGCCCCCTTGCTTGCTTTGCTCCCTTCTGCCAGCCATGAACTGTTTCTCCTCTGCAATGCCACCCTGTGCCACCCTGCGTTGAAGCCAGGCGGTTGTGGACTGAAACCTCTATACACTCTGAGCGAAATAAACTTTTAACTTAATATTGGATATTTCACCTCAGCAATGAGAAAAAGGTAACCAAGACATCTCTTTAATACAACGTTTACTGGTGAAGGTGAAAATGTAGCAGATTTACTTTCTCTCCTTCCATGAACTTCTAGAACTACTGAAGATATAGCTGGAAAAAAAGTCTGATCTAGACAATGAAAGGTGGACCCCAGAGTAACCACAGCAGTTTTAGATGAAGTGATAAAATGAGATGAAGTCTCAGCAGGAGACAAACTAGTCAGCAGCCACCTGCTATCTGCCCGAGTCATCAAGCTCTCCATCTGATACAAAGCTCCACAATTCAGCCTCCTGGCTTAGAGCGCTAAATCCCACTGTAACTGGAGCCATGAAGCAAAGCAAAAAAAGGTCCACTGGACCATGCTCACACAGGAAAGGAGGCCAAATGAACTGAATTTCTTAGTATCTAGATGACATGAAACAGTTTGTGAATCCAGATAATTAATGCAGTCATGTTAGAAGGATTATTATTGTAAGTTGAATCAATTAGTTAGAATGCAAAGTTTGAAGGTTTTTAAAAGACAGTTTTTCTGCTGAGGTGGGCTCTATGACGTTTGTAGCAGCTGACATACAGGAGGCCTCAGACAAACCTTTGGGGAGCAGAGCTGAGCCATACAGATTGGCACAGGACAGAAAGGGTAAAAAGGGACTCAGCAAGATTGGGCAAAAGGAAAATCTTGACATTAAAGAAATTCCTTTTGCGTTGTCTGAGCAGGCATTAGCAATCACGGCTGCTAATCCAACACGTAAGCGAGGTGAAACATTTCTGTGCAAATCTATTTCAAGAAAGTAAACTGCAAGGTGACTGGTGTGGAAGGTTGGTGTCTAATCATTTCCTTGCTCTGGCACCACTGCACTTCTAGAAGAGACTCTCTGAAAATACTGCAATTACTTTTAAAAATGAAAACAAAGCAGCAGGGAAAAACGGATGTCTTTTCTTACCTGTCGGCAGGGGCATCTCTGGTGGAAATAATTCTGGGTTAAATATGGCATGCGTCAGAGGAGGCAGGTGAAACATCTGTAAAGAACAATACGGACATCTTGCGTTCATTACTTTCCAACGTTACATTAAACATGCAAAGTCACAACACTGAAAAGGTAATCACAAGAGCGAAAACTAAAGACAAAAACAAGAGCAGGGTGTGGTGGCACCAGTCTGTAATCCCAGCACTTGAGAGGCTGAAGCAGGATGATGGGTGTGAGTTTGAGGCCAGGCTACATTACACAATTGAGTTAAAGGCCAACCGGCACTACACAGTTAGATCCTGTCTCAAAATAAACACATAAATATTAAAAAATAAAATCAAGTATCTGAAAATATCCCAAATCAGGATTCTGAAGTTCCTTTATGAAACCTAGTTAAGCTTTCATATCCACGGAGCTCAAGGGACAAAAGGATTTGAGCAGATTAACCCCGATCTCGAATCTCAGGGCCAGCATCTAGCTGGACCTGCTCACTCACAGGGTCAGTTAATGTTTGTGGAATGAATGACTGCAGTTCATTCTCTTAGAAATGTAAGGCGATGGTCCTAGAAAGCTGTATATCTTTAATGATGGTAAATACCTCTAATCTAACCTATTTCAAGGCTGGAAGAATTCTAGACAGCAGTTCTGGAGCAGTTCACGGCATAACTGGAGTACAGTAGGGACCAAGCTCTGAATGCATTTGTTTTTTTCACCTCTAATGCAAAAAGCATGAAGTTGTATGGGGAGTCAAACTGCACAATGGTCCTCCAAGAGCGTCCACACTCTAGTCCTGAATCGCAGAACCCCTAAAAGCTGCCTCAGACATCAAAAGGGACCCTGAGTATGTGGTTGGTGTAAGGGAATCAAGGTGAGGTGATTACCCTGATGCCAGCTGGGTGGGGAGGAGAGGCAGGAAGCTGAAGCTGTGGAAGCAGCAGGCAGTGATGGGAGGGTCCCAAGCCGAGGACTACAGCTGGCTCAGAAGGCTGCCAGGAGGGCAGCTCAGTGCCTGCATTTGTGTGTGGCTCAAGGAACAGGCTTGTGCTGCTCTAAGTCACACCTCTGTGGGACTCTCTTCTGGCAACAACACGAATCTAACACTGGGAATCAAAGCAGCTGGCATGCAACCTATTCTGGTGGAATTAAATGTCCCCACTTAGTTCGCTCACAAATTTCAGCTCCTATTTCTGAGCTTCCTACTTCTTTCAGTCTACAAAAGTCACTTCTCTGAGAAGTTTGTGGACAGCGCTAAAATTGGCCTGACTTCATTTTCTGTGAAAGGCTGGCAAGTGGCTGCAAAGAATATTTAAAAATACATCTACACATGACAGTTTGTCCCCTTGCCTTTATTAGTAAATTACTGGATGCTCTTGGGTTCCTTAGAACCTCCCATGACTAGTTAAATCAAAAGTAAGAAAAGAGGTGTTTAGATCAAGAGCACTTCAGATCTACTGGTGAGTAATACAGAACAGAATAATGTGTCCAGCTTCTTGTAAGAAACACTGATCTGCTCATCATTTGCTGGAAAGAAATACAGGCAGCAAAGATGAGCCCTGCAAAGCTGAGCCCCTGATCCAGAACTCCTTTTCTGTGGCCCTGAAGGTGGCCGAAATGACACGGTCAAGGGCAAAATGTACCAGGAAGACAGATCTTATGCTGTGCACTGCCGGCACTAACCCTAACCCTAACCCTAACCCGATGGGATGGACAGTAAGCTCCAGCTCCTCCAGCACGTGGACCGTATCTCCCCAACACAGGCTGTCTCCCCGCAAGGATGGAAACACCAGAACGCACCCCACCACTGTCACCAGTAAGCCTGAAACTGCCCACATAAGACACTTTCAAAATGAGTGTGTTCAGCAGCTTTTACTCCTGTGTGGCACAGGGTCGTCACTTGATAACATTTCCGGTGTGCAGACAGGAGAGCACAGTTCAGCCGAGCAGAGGCTGTCCTCATGCTGGGTAGTTTATCTTTAACTGTTAGAAATATTAAAAGTGAAAGGCAACACAAAGGGTTTTGATAACACAAGTAGCCAAAAACGTCTTTCATGGTGCCATCAAAGGAAACGTCCCTAGATTTATCTGATAGCACCACAGTACAAAGAAGCTGGGAAGGAGCACCTTCGCGTGAACAGCAATGCATCTGTACTTCCTACAGCAGCCAGGACAGTAGACCAAGACGCATGCCTGCTCCGTGTCTATTTTATTTACAAAAACAACACCAGGTCCCTCAAAAGTAATTTGCTTTGGGTTTAATTTTTTGGGCTGATTTTTAGAATGTGCAAATTTGGAAAATGCATTGTTTTAGGAGGCTGCATCAAAATTCAAATGTGTCAACACATGGAATCTCAGACCTGGATGTCCCAGAGCTTGGTGTTCTCTCTCCTGGCCCAGCCTAGCCAGCGCCTTCCTTCCAAGTCAGCATGCAGGCTCCTTTGCGCCACCCCCCCGGCCCTCACTTCCCCTGGCTCCCAGGAGTCCCTCTGAGCATGTCTGTCCTCTCTGCGTGCCAGAGTACTGACACTGTGCTCTCTCCCTACCACGGAAACGGCAGCTCCCGGAAGTCAGAGTCTAATTTCCTTTCTATATCCCTGACTTTTTTTTATTATTGCTACAACATCAATATTCTGGTACATAATGAGGCTTCAATAAATAACTAAGGAAAAAATAACTAAGGAATGAATACCTGTGCTTTAAATGCTTCTGAAAACCATTACATTCAAAACCTAGTGTCAGCATGGAATTTCTCCAGCCTGAAAATTGCTTTCAAGTGGTTCTATACAAATAAAAATCTTACACACTCATACACACATGTGCACATGCGTGCACGCACACACGCACACAAAGAAGACAGTAGCAGAATGTAAATGCCCAGCACAGATTTGTTGGACTGTATTACATTTTTGTAGGCTTTGAACTTTTTTGAACTAAAAAGCGGGGAGGCTATTACCCCTTCCTAATTGCTAAATATATCGATAGCAGTTTTGCGCTCTCAAAACACAGTCCTGGAACTCCCGTGCAGCTGGGGCTGGCCTTTCTGGTTGTGAAAGAGGTGGAGGATGAGGAGGTATGGATTCCTGGGTCTGAAGAGCCTGTCAGTTACCAGTAGTGACTGTCACACAACCAGCTCCGAATTCTAAGTCCAAAGGTCTTTTCTCTACACCCATCTGCCTCCTCACTGGGAGAGAGTTAAGTAAATATTTTACAGGACGCTGGTGAGCTGAACTGTGTTCCTCTTAAAAAAGAACTGTTTAAGTCTTAAGCCCTGTTAGTCATGAAGATGCCTGATGAGAAGCTCGGTCTTGGCAGGGAAGCAGATAAGATGAAGTCGTGCAGGATGCTAGAAAGAGCAGATGAAACCCAGGCACTGTAGCGACACAGAAGGCAAAGGCCACAGAGCCAGGGACTGAGGTGCTGCCACTGCAGGCCAAGGTGCCAGGGTAGTAACAGTCACTCGAAGACACATAGGGTCCAGATCCGATTCTGTTGGACCTGCCTGGAAGCACCCGCACTTTTGACTGCCTGCCTCCAGCGCTGGGAGAGTGCCTCTGCTGTTCAAAGCCACCAGACTTACGCTTATGTGTTACAGTCGTCACAGGACACCAGCACAGTGACTGGTGTCTGACCTGTCCCACACACAATGTTTACATAAATCACTGAGGTGAGCTACCCACTTCATACGACATGTCCACACCGATCTTGTCTGGAGGGATCAGGACACTTAAGTTTAAAATTTTTTTTTAAAACTATTTTTAGAGTTTTCCTGATACTGAATGACCAGCGCTGCCCCTGTGTAATCTGAAACATGAACTGATGGAAAGAAAATGGTCTATGAGATTGCAGGGAACACTTACTTGTTCGTGCCCTCTCAGATACGAATCGTCGTCCGTCATCCTGGAGCTGTGTATGAAAACAAAATAAAACAAAACTGAAATACTGGACCGAGCCTCAGAAAGTCCATCACTGCGGAAGAGCAGGCCCAAAGCGCACCCACCGGCAGCCCTCACCACATTCTTTCTGCGGAGCTCGGGAGGGGGCGTGTGCAGTTCCTGTTTGGTTTCTAAATCTGACATGGGGACATTGCACAAGCGGGGAACTGCCACTTACGCAGGATCCAAGTACCACACTGAGCTCATACTGCCGGAGTTTGGCACAACTGCTCTTGTCCTCTGTGTAAAAAGTATGCACCCTGGGTTTCTTTGCATCACACCTAAACTTCATGGGTTCACAGGCTCAGCCTTTATGGATGTTACCTTCCCACGCTGGAAGTCACAGAACTGTCCCCCAATGCTCTGGAGTCCTTGGATTGAGGAGCCCAGTGCTACATACAACTTGGGGATGGGGCAGTGTTGTTCTCTGCCACCGTCAAGGTGGAAGAGAAACTCTGTCTTATTAAGAGTGCCATAAAAACACAAAGTTAGGGGCCTTTACACCAAGGCCGCGGGGCTCAGAAACAAACTCACCGCTGGCCCCTGCTGCAAAGGCAAAGGCCCACTCACGAAGGCCCAGTGTCTCTAGGGTCAGGAATACTTGGCATTTGCTTGCTTAAGAAATACTCTTTTCAGGATCAGAGGTTTAGCTCAGTGGCTTTATAGGCTCCTGCCTGGCAAGCTCGAGGCTGAGAGTTCAATTCCTGGCACCAAAAAAAAAAAAAAAAAAAAGAAATACCCTTTTCGTTATTGTAAGAAGTTAGTTTTATTTCAATTTGCATAGATCAAATTTTTGATATACAGCCTTAAAAATGAGAATTTTTTAAAAGATGAAATTGAGAACAAATACAAATTCCTGAAACAGATTCACACATTTCTTCACAAAGCGGGTGCTGCTCAGAAAGGGGCACGGACACATACATGGCCCCTACCTCCCGGGAGCCCAGATGCCACCACACCAAATGCCACAGGGCATCCTCTACAAGTCTCTCCTTTTCTCAAGGGATTAAAGTCCTGCACAGAGAAGCCCTGGCTCTGCCACAGGGCAGATGGTGAGTGACCTGGGTGAACCTGGGCCCCTGACCACACTGCATGACAGAGCACTGTGACCGCCGGGGCTCACACTGGGGGTGATGAGGGTCAGGGTTAGCCCAGTTCCAAGACCCAGACCTCATTCTGGGGAAACCTTCTTTCCCTAGACACTGCACGCCTCCCTAGGAGGCCTGGGGACACTGGAGCAGTGTGCGATTCCAACCACCGCGCCTCGAGCAGCTCATTCTGATTTATAGGAAATATTTGCCTACCCGAAAATATTCAGGCACCACAATTAAACAGAGATCTACTAAACAGTTAAGAACAGGGAAAAGTGATCTGATGCAGCAAACAGAAAGGCTTACTTGAAATCAGACACTCTGCCCCTCCTAGGGGTGCGGGCTGAGACGCACCGTGGCCCTGGCTCCTCCTGGGTGGAGCGAGAGATGTGCAGAGGACGGGTTGATGTAGAAACAGAGCTCTGCTGAGCTGGGGCTTGTGTTAGCTGCAAGGTGCCTACTTCTGGAAGCACACATCCTTTACATTCATGTCAGTCTCTGCTAAACTTGGATTATGTTTTTGGTGGCACTGGTGATGAAGACCAGTGTCTTTTTCATTTTTTATTTTGAGATGGTTTTCATAAAGACACCAAGTTGTATAGGCTGGGCTCAAATTTTTGATCTTCCTGCCTCAGCCTCATAGTGTGTGCCATCACACCTGGCTGAACTTGAATTTCTACATGAATTAGTGTGTGTGTGTGTGTGTGTGTGTGTGTGTAAGAATTTTGTATCTATTACAAATGTATGTATATTAACATAACTTCCAGTTATATAAATACTACTAAAAAAAAGTTATGTCAAATGACAATGCTAATACCAGCCAAAATAAACTCTGAAAAATCCCGAGCCTTTTAGCACCATTGGAGCCCAAATTCTCATGAAGCGTTTAGAACCATTTTCTTGTTTCAGACTTGCCATTAACTGAGTGGTTTCTTGAGTCTTTCCAAACAGCCTTGGGCCACTGCCTTCCCTCGCTGAGGGCAAACCCCCAGCTTACCATACAGACAATCCCACTCAGCCAGCAGGCCACGTGAGGCTGGTTATGTGCAAAGCGAATCTTGGATGGCTTCACAGATTCAGCAGAGAGCAGCTCTCACTCTGACTCAGCATTCAACCGAGGATCAGTACGGACTCCTGGCCTAGCGTGTGTGAAGCCCTGGATTTAACCCCTCAGGCTGCCAAAAGAGTAAAAATTAAGTTGAAAACCTCAGTAAAACCTCCTCTATCAGCACGGCGCTAGACAGAAGACCAGATTAAACAGCCTTCCCTGCACGGACCCCCACCAGCCTGTGCCCAAGTGGCACAGCCTCAGAGACTGGGGCAGCGAGGGACCCGTGGGTGACCACTCAGGGTTCATGTGCGCAGCCTGGGCAGGGTTGTGAGGGGAGAGCGCCCCAGGGTGACGTCGATGTCAACTTGTAATTTAAAAATAAAATGTCAGAGAAACCAAGAATCGCTTGGAAAGGATGAATCACCAAGGAATATTTGCATTCGTCGTAGAAGCCAGTTTTAATTGTCGGATGTTGAAACACAACTGAAGCTCCAGCGTGGCCCATGAGGGCCCAGGGAAAGCCCCTGCCAGGCCCCGGCCGCCTCCTCCCTTCCTCCAGCCGGCTGCGCTCTTGAGGAAGGACCCTGAAACAGAAAGGGAGACCCGAGCCAGCCAGTGGCCGCTCCCCTGTGTGAGGAAGGGAGATTTTCTCCCCCAGAAAGAGAAACAGAAAATGGAGCTGACCTCACGGGGTCCTTTGTCACCAGTCAGCCCTATTTTTGAGATGTGTTCTTCTCGTGAAAAGCGTTGTGTCCAGCCCAGCTCTGCCTCCCTCTGCAAGCGTGACAAGCCCCCTGGAAGCCCAGTGGTCATTTTCCAGGCGTCTGGGACTGTTCAACCCACCCCACGGCAATGCCTGTCACTGCCACTGCAACTGTGTGGGCCCAGAGCAGTCCATGGCTTCCTGCCATGCCCTGGGAGCAGCGGGCACCGTGCTGAGATGTCATTAAAAACACTTTCAAAACCCACGTAAATGAGTCCATGAGCACTAAGGACTGAATCTGCAGTGTCAAAGATGTAACCAATCGGAGGGGAAGTGTCTTCAGATTTTAACACCTCACCTTGGATCACAGTAAGGGCGAACCTCCGAAAATGTGACTTTTCATTATTTCTGTGTTGGGCAGCAAATCGATAGAGAAAAATATGCTGAAGCCTCTTTCTAAGGAAAAATTGTCTGAAGGAAACACAGCAGCTGACCTGTACACAGGGCACTGAGGCAGGCATGTAGCTGGACATCAGGGGACCCCCAAGGCCCAAGACTGCGGGCATTGCAGGTATGGCACAGAGGTGCCAGTGGGTGACAGGGGCAGCCTAAGGTCACACGCTGTGCACAGCCCTCCAGACACTTGGCCACCTGACCTCAAACTCCAGCCAGGCCCATGCCGCTCCTGGTGCCACCACCTGCAGCCTAAGGACATGATCCTCAAAGACCCTCCCGCCCTGGGCCGCAGGTTTAAATGGAGAACTTGCCTCCCTTGAATTCCTTCTGTGTGTTCCTTACGTGAGGAGATCCCCTGGGGAACCACTGCCCATCTAAAAAGGACTTTGTGCAGTTCCTAAATCACCTCTAAGTAAAACGTCGATAAACTCCCTAATCTCTGGACCCCATGAGTAACTCCCGGGCTAAAGAGGCGTCCAGACTCGCACTGGCCTTCTCACTGGAAGGGGGGACCTGCACTGTGCCCACTCCACAGTGCGCTCCACCTGGACTTCTGCACCCCCGTCCTGGCTGAATTCTGTATCAGGGCGCAGAGAACCTGGGCCCAGGCAGTGAGCAGCTGGGTCCTCGCGGTGGCAGGAGGTGGCTTCCCGGTGACACACTACATAGATTACAAAACATTCAAGCGAAAGTAACTCTTGATTCTGCAACTTCACCTTCAGGAATCCACATTAAAAAGCTGCCTGAGCAAATATGAAAAAAAAACAAGGATATTCACTATAGCAAAAAAAAAAAAATCTTAATGTCTTTTGAAAGCAGATTGCTAAATTGTACTTATCCTATATCCATAAGTATTACAAAAATTATTAACAATAATTCAGATATATGTATATACACAGTGACATGGCAACTTTTAAGTTATATATTTGTATACTTTAATTTTCTAACTGAATTATGTAAATGGAAATATATTTTAATAATAAAAAGTAGAAAATTGAACTTGAAAATTTAACTCTGACATTTTAACAACTGATGACATTAGTGTATGAAATATGAACAAACCAAAACTTACTATACACTTCCGAATTCTCCTCTCTCATGATAACTACACTAGGAAAACATTTTGAAAAGGTTTGCTTCTTTGTATCTTTCTGATGATACACTGCCCAGTAATGATGGAGCAAAAACGCACACTGGGTTTAATCCCTCTTTTGGGAGGAGCTGATTTCTGAAAGTTTTTGAAAGGAGTTGATATTTACATGCTATCACTTTTAGATTTGTAAAAAGCTATTTTCACCCTTCTGTTTTTATATCCACGTTGTTTCACATGGGTGTGATGTGACCAAGAAACCCATAGAATTGCTACGAGAGGCAGTGCGCCATGATACAACTGGTGAACGGGACGCCAGTCTAATGGGTGGCGGACCACGTAGAAGACTCAGCTGGCTCATTTTTGCAAAGCTTATCAGCACGAGGAGCGACATGCAGCAGATGCTGGCCACTTCACCCTGCACAATAAACCACACGTTTGAGGTAAGACATGGAGACGGTGGGGACAAAGGCCTCCAGGCACCCCCAAGGCAAATCTAGCGTTTTCTCTTTTTCATATACCGTTACGGCGACACTGTCACCTTCCCTCTCCAAAGTGATTCAGTCCCTAGTGGGTATGA